TGTACTTTCCCTTCCCACACACACACACACAGGTCCTTCCCTCATCAAATAAACTTCCTGGCTCTAGTCCCTGCTGGAGAAATCTAAGAAGCCTTTTCCCAGGCACCACCCTTCGGAACCTGTCAGGTAAACACCAAGAATGCACAAGAGGAAAACCCCAAGTAAGACTCCAAATGATGCTTGACCAAGGTTTGGAGCTCACCGTGAGGCAGAGGGTCTTCAGCTGGGAGCTGGCCTCTCTTCTGCACTGAGGGGAAGGAAGGAAGGAGCTTTTTTGTCATTACCAAGTGCATTCTCATATGTTGCCCAAGAGACTCTTAGTATGCCAGGATGAAGGAGTTATCTTTGACCATAAGCTCCCCCTTTTGTCTCATATTCAGTCTTTGGGCAAAATCCTCTTGGTTCTTCTTCGGAAGGTTCTCGTGCATCCTCCACTTCAGTGGGGCTCGAATTGTAGGTGCTGGACCAGCAGAAGCAGCCCTGACCTGGGAGCTCGTTAGACCTGTGAATTCTCAGGTCCCCGCCCAGACCCACTGAGTCAGAAACTCTGGGGGTGGGGCCCGGAAAGCTGGGCTTTAATAGCCCTACAGGAAATTCTGATGCGCCCTCAAGTCTGGGAATCACTGCTCTCTGATGGAACCCCTTTTTATTATTAGAACATTATAAATGTGATAGGTGTTCATCGGATACAATTTGGAAAATATAGACAAGGATGAAAGACGCGGACAAAAAGAAATTACCCCATAACTCTACTAGTTGGAGGGAACCACTACTTTAATTTAATTTTAGCATTTAGTTCTTGTTAAAAAGCACATTGAAAATAACCTTTATTCCCTTTTGTGTATGAATTACTGCAGTGTTTTTGGAGTGGTTCTGCTTGGTTTTGGTCTTCTGTTTTCTGCTTTTCCAGAATTCATCCATGTTCCTCGCTCCTTCCTCCCCACTCCCTTCTCCTCCAAATTGAGATGTACTTGCCACATGACACTGTGTAAGTTTAAGGTGTATAGCATATTGATTGGATACATTTATATTACAATGTGATCGTCATTGTAGCTTAGCTAACACCTTTATCACGTCACATAATTTTTTCTAGTCTTGGGAACAGTTGAGATCTAGTCACGTAGCAACTTTAACGTTTATAACAGTTTTGTTCTCTGCGATCACTGTACTGTGTATGAGGTTTCCAGAACTTATTTGCTAGTTGCAAGCCATTCTTACGTTCACGCATTTCTCAGAGTGCCACTTCTTGGACTCAAAAATATTCAGTGTTTCCTCTTGTCCTCTGAACGACTGCGTATGAACTGCTCACCTTAGCATTCAAGGAGTTTGTGATATGGTATTTCCATTTCACCCACTAATATGCATGTTCCGTAAGAAAGAAATAAAAGCCTTGTATCTCAGGCACCTGACAGAGTTCCATGTAATTGGTAGGCACTCAGTGAATATTTGTTCAATGAACAAATGTATCTTCTAATACAATCAGGTCGTATTTGATAAATCTGTGCCATTCATTTCTACTTCCTGGAACAGCAGTTTGTGCTATCTGGTGCTTTCTCCGAATGCACGTGCCTGGGACCCAGGCAGGGAGATTTTGGTGCCTTCAGTGTGGTGCCCTGGGTAGCCCTCGTAGAGAAGCTCAGGTCTATAACACCCCTTCCCCAAGTCCATGGGTCAAACACCCACCCACCTGTATTAGATATTACTCCTCCCAAAGTCATCTCCCTCCCCTCCCAGGTCCTGTGGTTCCTGCCTCAGATGTTAGCTTGTGGGCACAAGGGAGGAGTCCCGTGACTTGGGCTCAGCCAATCAGAGGACTTCCCTGAGAATTTGAACTCTGTTGTGGAAGACTGAGGCAATCTGACCGTGGTGGGTGCTAAAGTCAGAAGATCCTTAGGACTTGGTGCTGGCAGCCATGTGTGGTCCTGAGTGAGCAGAGGAAGCCAGCCTGTAGGGAGGAGTGTGGAACAGCTATGCAGAGAAGTAGTTAAGAAAATGTGGAAAGAGAGAAAGAGAGGGATGAAAAGAAAAACTACCCAATGACTTCTCGGGTCTGCACGGCCCACCGAGCCGCCAGCCCTGGGCTGACCTGGGTTTTCTCTTATGTACCAGTGTGAAGCACCCTGGACTAGGAGCCCATCTCTCGAGGCCTGGCTCAGCTTCCTCCTCGTATTTGAAAGTCCTTCAGGTCTCCCCCCTGCAGCAAGCACTCTCGCTGCTCATCTCTTCGGCCGTTACTGGCAGGAGTAGGATCACAGGGCTTTACACGGACCGTTCCATAAATAAGCACATCGGCCAAATAATCAGCACCTGTGCAGGGGCCTTCGCGTTCCAGGGCGGGGAAGAAGCCTGTTGGAGAAGAAAGCGGGGGAACCCTCGAGGGGAGGGGCGTTCCCCGCTGTGGAGGAGGAGCCTGGGGCGCCACGCTGACTGTGCTGGAATCGTGGTGCGCCTGCTCCCAGTCCCTCCGTGCTCTCCGTCCAGTCCCGGAGGGAGCTGCAGGCTGGATGGTTCCATCTCATCCCCAGTTAGGGAACTGGTACTGGCCACAGTGACTGCGAGGATACATACCTAATTCTGCTCTCAACTGTGTTTTCAAACAGTTTCTCTTGCGTGGCTGAGACTTCCCAGGTCATAAGGCACAAGGGTACTTTTTGAAAGTTCAAGAGGGGAATTAAGAGGGAGGTTGTTTTTAAGCCAGTTTGGTCCCTGTACCCTTGTGTCAGGTAGCATGTCCGGGAGCCCGGGCTCTATGGAATCGTGAGGTGCAAAGGCCATGCTAAGCCTTCCTTTGGCTTTCAATAAAGGCCCTGGCTTCTCTGTCGCAGACAGACAGGCAGACGGGCATGCGTATTCTGCGGTCTGAATCAGGCAGGGCTGGTCCACCACTTCAGGTGATACCCTCCCTCCCACATCTCGTGCCACTTTTGTGATAACAGCAAGAGAGATTAAGATAGATGCTTGAGGATAGAAGAAACCATCATCAACAACATCACACACAAAGAAGCCGGTGGCGAGCTACTAAAAGGCAGTTTAACCTCGCTGCACTCCACCCTCGGCTGATGGCTTCTCCTGGCCCAAGGCTTGCTCTTCTTTACGTTTTTGCTCACCTGGGGTGGCTGGTGCAGACACTGGAGGCTAAGAGTTTGCACGAAGAGTTTTTCAGAGTGACCTACTCCATGTGCAATAACCTTCAGGTCACATCCTCTCATTCTGAACTGAGTAGGGGGTGCTGGGGTAAAAATAACCCACCACCTCCACTTAATGTAAAGAGAGTTCTAGCTCTTGTGTGAGTCTGGTTGGGGACTGGGAGGGCTGGTAACCGACCACTCCTCCTGGCCTGGGAGGTGTGAGGACAAAGGTCTCTCACCTTGGTTCCTTTGATGGGAGCTTCAGCACTCCCAACTGATATGCAGATGAGGGGTGGGACCTGCTCTCTGTGAGCTTCTGTCTTGGCTTCCTTGCCAGTTCTGACTTCACAGATGACCTAGTTTGTTTCTCTTACCTCACACCTTTTCCTGGTGACTTAGGGTAAGTCACAACCAGTGCGCAGTCATTAATGGGGTGGGGCTGGGTGAACTGGGGCTGCCCCTGGGTCTCCACCTCTGAATCATCTTCTGGTCAGGGTTTGCCATCCTGCTGGTAAGTAGAGCAGCCTGTGGTGAGTGCCTTTGCCAAAGACTTGCCACCCACCATCTTGAAGCTTTGTGAAGGGGAATGACTTAGATCGATTGGGGGTTCCTTAGTTTTTGAAATAAAAACATTTTTCAGATACCCAATGGGACTTTTGTTCCCCTTTGGCCCGGTTACAAAGTAGTGCAAGCCAGAGTGGTTTCTGATGGCAGTCACTCCGGGCTTTCTTACTGTTATTTTTTTTCCCCCCTATTTTTTGAGCTAGTTTGCAAATAGCTCAAAATGGCCTTTCCACTGGCTCAGGTGGGTTCAGGTAGGGGTGGCAGGAGTGACCTGGACTTCGGAGGAACCTGCTGATGTGGCCACCTGGAGAATTGTGCAATCATATTTTCATCGATGTCACCACCAGGGTGTCCGGCAGGACTTTCTCCCCTCCCCCGCCCCAAAGGCTGCTGCTAGCTACGACTTGAGCAGTGGGTGGCCATTCTTTGTAGGAGCCTAAGGACTTGGAGCGGTGGCCTCACCTTTTGCTGGGTGGCCCTGTGAATGTGGGTTCTCGAGAGGTCAAATATGAAGGAGATGAAGCTTGTTATTGCTCGAGGTTTGGAAGTGGGTCGGGGAGTTGAGCACAACGCCGTGGAGAGGCCCCACTGGCGTGGCCTCCAGGACGCGCCTTTTGCTCTGTAATCTGTAATGGCCACCCTCCGGTCCTCGGCAGACAGGCACCCGCAGACGCCTGGAGGAGCGGCCACCTGGGCTGGAGGGTGCGGTGCCTTTGTGCCTTTTCTATTGGGGCAGTAGGTGGGCGCCAGGGGAGCTCTGGCAACTGCCCTGGGAGTCCCGCCAGGATGTCGTAGTTGGGGAAAAGTGGAATCTCGTCTCCCCCTTGCAAGCCTCGCCCGCATCATAATTCCTTTTATTTTTACTTTCGAGCCATGTAAGGCATGCGGATGGGGTAGGAGCGCTCTGGAGACACGTAGCCAGCGGCGCAAAGCCGGCCCGCTCGCATGGCTGGAGCCTGGCGTAGGGACAGGCCTCCCGACTCCTGCCCCACCGGCCTCGCCTCCCACAGTCACGAACACACGGGGTCGCGGGGTTCCGCCAGCCACCCCAGTCCCGCCGTGCCCTCGGAGCGGCCCAGCCCAGTCTCGCCCCTGCCGTGTCCCGGGAACGCCCAGGGGAGGGGCTGGCCGGGGAGTCGGGGCGCAGCGTAGCCGGTCTCGGCGTGTCTGCACCCAGCGCCCCAGGCCGGCCCGGCCCACGTTTTCCCTCTCTCCGGCTCCCTCCGCCTCCTGCGCTCCGTCCCTCCCCTTCGCCCTCCTCCCTCCCTGCGCTTCCCCTCCTCCTGGCTGGTCATGTGTCGCCTTTTTTTGTTTGCAGTGGAAACAATTTCTCGCTGCTCTACGCACCCCGGCCCGACGCGCCGCGGCGGAGGCGAGCGGGAGGCGGGACGGGGCGGGGAGAGCGGCGGGGCCGGCGGGAGGACGCGCTGTGCGCCGGACGGACGCCGCAGGTCCCATGCCGCGCCTCGACCCCCGTGCCCCTGCCGTCCGCGCCCGCGGCCGCCCCCCGCCGCCCGCTGCCCCGGACTTGCAGTGCCGCGCCCGCGCGTCCCTAGCCGGGCCACCGAGCGATGCCCGCCGGGCGCCCGCGAAAGTTTGTCTGTTCCCACTAAAGGGCAGCGGCGCCCCCGCGCCCCCGTGCCCCGCTCCAGCCAGGTGAGTTCGCTCCGCGCTCTGGCCGGCACCCAGGCAGGATTGGGCGACCCGGGCCGCGGTCACTCATCGGAGGAGGTCCCGGAGGCTCTCGGCAGACAAGGGACTCCACAGTTCCTGCGGGAGAGTGCGGGGCGGGGGCCTGGCCGGGCGGGCAGACGCGAGCCCCAGGCGGGGAACTCGCTGGATCGGAAGAGTTTCCTGCCCCGACGTGCGGCTGTTTCCCGGTGCCTCGATTCCCAGAAAGACGCCCCAAAGGAGCCGTGTTGGTATTGCCCTAGGGGGACGGGGTCCCCGCCGTTCCGGGCCGAGGGAGAGGGTGCTGATCCAGGGGACACCCCAAGATGAGAAGCAGGATCCTAACAAAGATACCCTCCCCCCACAAATTGTGCAGGCTGGGCACCGGCAGTGAGCGTCTCCCCAGACCCCCGAGGCCCGACCCCTCCTCATCCCGGGCCGCTTTGAAGCCCTCCTTGGGTCCTGGAGAAGTTGGGGGACGGCGGGCTTTTACTGATGTGTTTTTAAGGCTCGCAGCAGTGCGGCCAATAAAAGGTTTATGACATCTGACCAGCAGTGAAGGTATGCGAGCTCCCAATTGCCCTGTATACGGGGAGAAGAGCAGTTTCCCTGTTGCTTGGCAACTCCGCTGATTGATGCGAGACGCAGCCAATTGCTGCTCCCGCAGGTCCCCTTGAAATGTTTTTGACAAGTACAGTAGATGCGAGTGGAGCGCGTGCGTGCGCGCGCGCCCGGAGGGTGGGGGTTCTGCCCCCCGCCCCCCCCCCCCCCCCCCCGCCCCCCCAGCTCCAGACTGCCCTGCTAGCCTTGGGGAGGATTTCTCAACTTTCTAAAGTTCACATCGAACATCTGTTCAGAGCCGGGCCAGTAATGTATTTGTCAGTTATTTGGAGACAATTCTGATAGCCGGCAAAAAACAGCGTTCCTGCTGCCTGTTCTCCGTTGAAAAGCAAAAAAGATAACTAAACGCGTCGTGAAAAAAAGAGAGAGAGGGAGGGAGGGAGGGAGGGAGGGAGTGTGTGTGTGTGTGTGTGTGTGTGTGTGGCAGGGGACCGTGAGGAACCAGCAGCAGACTGAAAAGTTGCGGGGAGGTCCCTAGGAAATAACTACTGGCGTGCGTGATGGAGCAACCGGTCTCGAAGCCGATTACAAATGTTTGCTTAACTGCAGACTCACATGATCCGGATTCTTCCCCCCCTAAAATTGGAGGAAAAGAGATTTGGCGAATTATGTAGTTTGAGAAGAATAATGGAAAACTCAGCTGTGGTTTCTGGGAACTGTTTTTTAAAATGGAACGGGAGTGATCAGCAGCTCTCCATCCGGTGACTCTAAAACCCGACTTTTAGGGGCGCCCTGCACAGTCGGACAGCCTGGGGGGAGGACAGACGCAAACCCTGGAACCATCCGAGGGGACCGACCCCTGTAACCCTGTTTTCTTGACAGTGCCATTTTTCTCATAAAACTGTATTGCTGCCAATGTTTGTTTAAAACAAAAGAAAACATGGAGAATAGTGTGTTAGTTCCTTTGGGAAGCTACTGACAAATAAGCAAACTAAAAAGAAAGAGAGCAGCATGTTGTCATAGCAACAGTGCAATTAAATTACTTCACTGTCAGCCATGATATAATTTCGCTGTTTCGAAGCTCAGGAGACGTAAAACTTTCGTGTGGAGCTGAACTTGACTTCAGTGGCTGGGTAGCTGTTCTCTTTTGTACTGTACTGTGTGGATATTCCTGGTGATCAGAAAGAGTGTGTGTGTGTGTGTGTGTGTGTGTGTGTGTGTGTGTGTGTTTTATCCGGATCTCAGGAAACTTTGAGAGGGACAAACCTAACTTTGGTTTGTTTACAAAGAAGGTAAAAAGCCTCATGAGGCTGGTCTATGTCAGACTCCCAAGCCTAAAGATACTACCTTATTATTTCAAATGTGTCATGACCACCCAGGTTAGTTCATGACAGAAATAGTCCCTGTGGATGAACTTGAGGTACATGCAAACTGTCGGGGGCGTGGGTCTTCGATGCCTATGGTTTGCTTTGTTTAGAGTTGGGTATCTCACAGGCATTCCCGAGAGCCCCCCAAGCCTTCTGTCAGCGGGTGGTCTGACAGAGGGTGGTCTTCCACCCTTTGGAAGCGGGAGGGTCTTGCAGTTCTGGACACCCTGGGTGTTGTGCTCCCCCACGGGGGGCTTTCTAGAACCCCATTCTAGACCTTCTCCAACTACAGGGGCAGTTATTTTAGGTGTAGTGTTAGGGGACCTTTCGAGCCCTAGAATTCTAGATCACTTCTTTGCTTTTGATGTGGGTTTTTTTTCCTAGATAGTTTGATCTTCTCACTTATGGGGGGAAAATAAAACAGACACACTTGGGAGACACTTCTTCATCATTTTCATTGCTCTTTCTGTCTTACCTGGAGTCCCAGGGGGTTGAGCAGCTTTGTATCCGCGGGGGTCCTTCTGTTGTTTGCTCATTCTCTTTTCTCATCAGATGTTTTACTCCCTGTTCTAGGTCATTGATAAAAATGGAGAGCGATAGCAAAAGAGAATTCTGTAGCGATTTTTGTTGGATCTGCCTCCCTTTGTTGAAGCTGCCCCTTTGCTCACCTGACTTTTCCTCCCAATTCTAATTTCGGTTAATGGCTTGCCTTTCATATGCCCATTTATTTGTGTGGTGTCCGAAGTTATTCACTTTTTCGTTCAGAGTGTAGTGTTGCAATAAAATGTACTTCTTCCTCCAGTTCAAATCCACAGAACTGCCATGTAATTAAAGTTGCAGAGTGATGGGTACGGTTTGTACAGAAACTCTGAAACAGCTTGTCTTAAACTTCCAGGTATTTTTGTAAGAACGTTGGACAGTGAGTCCTATCAGCCCGAGAGCCAGGGTGTGTGCACTGTAGGTAGCATGTATCATGAGGCTTGACATATTTTTACCTGTGTATATATTCATATATAATAGATAAAGGGAGGCAGCAAGAGAGAACGGATTTTCCCAGGGTCACAGGGAGAGAGTGCGTAGACCCAGGAAGAAGGCATTGTGGAATTTCCCATGCTTCCTGTGGTGCGTTCGCACATTCAGGATGCGGCAGATTTCTCCAGTCCCGCTGTGCTGGGCCAGGGCGGGTCGTGGTGGTGCACGCAGGTGGGCCGATTTACTTACAGTGCGTCTCTGTGGTAGAACTGTGGGTGTGCGTGACGCAGGGTAGGAGGTGTGTTCGAGGGAGGGAGACAGGAGGATTAGGAGAGCGCAGCTGCCTTTCTGGTTTGGGTTCCACTAACTTCTCTTTTCTGTGTCATGCGTTTACCAGGAGCCTTCACGTAAATGGGTCCAGTCATGCCTCCCAGTAAGAAGCCAGAAAGCTCAGGAATTAGTGTCTCCAGTGGGCTGAGTCAGTGTTACCGGGGCAGCGGCTTCTCCAAGGCCCTTCAGGAAGACGATGACCTCGACTTTTCTCTGCCCGACATCAGACTAGAAGAAGGGGCCATGGAAGATGAAGAGCTGACCAACCTGAACTGGCTGCACGAGAGCAAGAACTTGCTGAAGAGCTTCGGGGAGTCGGTCCTCAGGAGCGTCAGCCCGGTCCAGGATCTGGACGATGACACACCCCCGTCCCCCGCCCACTCCGACGTGCCCTACGATGCCAGGCAGAACCCCAACTGCAAACCCCCCTACTCCTTTAGCTGCCTCATATTTATGGCCATCGAGGACTCTCCGACCAAGCGCCTGCCAGTAAAGGATATCTACAACTGGATCTTGGAACATTTCCCGTATTTTGCAAACGCACCTACTGGGTGGAAAAACTCAGTGAGACACAATTTGTCATTGAATAAGTGTTTTAAGAAAGTGGACAAAGAGAGGAGTCAGGTAAGCCTCTGTGTCTGGAATTCAAGAGTTTCCTTTTTCTTTTTAAAATTTGTAATTTGCCTCCACTAAAAAAAAAAAAAAATCGGTATGGAATGTAAAGTCACCACCCTGAAGTAGCCATTATAAATGGATACGTTTATTTCATTCGTTTAGATAGTTGCAAACGTCCTTTCCCTTAAACATATTAACTCGGGGCTGTTTCTGGTGTTTGTGCTGGACCGAGGCTTTCCCACGTGGCATTGGAATATAATCACAGGAGAGCGGGTGGTGCACTGTCGATCGGTTCTCCTGTCAACGGGATGGGTCAGTTTGGGTTTAGAGCACAAAGAGCCATTAGCCTCGAGGTGTGTCCTGGAATAGATGGACAGTAATGGGCACTGGGAGGAGACTAAGCATCCAAGACTAAACAAAGACAGACACGAATTGCCGAGGTGACTCTTGAAATCAGATGTCTACCTAAGTGTTTGGCAACTTTGAAACTCCCCGAATATCAAAAAATTAGCTCAGGGTAACGTTCCCACTAGAGAGTGACTTAAAAAAAAAAGGTTGATTTTTTAAAATTTTAAAGCCTTAGCTTGAGCTTGATGGTCCACCAAGAGACAGTTTTAATAATCTGCTTTGTCTTTCTTCAAATAAAATAGGTACAATAGAAATTGGGTCGACCATTAAGAGCTGGAAAATAAAATTGTGATCTAACTTGGAGTTCTGTAAGGTAGTGTTGCCACAGTTGAAATAAATTGCCAGAAAACATCTCTCCGCCCACGCCTTGTCATGTGACTCTGCGTTCCAGCTTTGCTTTCCATGAATAATACTGATGGTCTACTTTTCCCCTTTTTGAAGTTCAGGTCCAGGCTCAGGATCACTATTTTGTGGGGTCAGCAGCTGTGCAGGGTTGGGGCCTTTACTTTCTTACCAGAAACATGTTTCCATTTCCATCAGAATCTTGAGCCTGAGAAAATTCTACTTGGGCGCGGAAGAATACGAATAAGGAAGGGGTGGAGCCATTTTTCTCCTTGCTGCAGCTGGGCACGTTGGTCTGCGGATGCCCTTGACCTAGAGTTTATGTTCGAGGTGGGGAGTGGGCCTCATGCGGAGTTTGAGGAAGGGCGGTGCTGGGGGGCAGGCAGATGTGGACACCAAGGAGCTGTGCCTTTGGTCGCTGGTGCTGACGGTGCCTCGATGCAGTGTTGCCGTGTGAACAGTCGTGTTCTGGGTCCCTCCTCCATCAGACCTCATATCTACATAACTGTAGCAACTTCGGGATGCTGCTCTTGTCCCCGGGTGTCCGCTTCTCTTCCTCCTCCCCTCCACGTCTCAGAATGGGCATTTGGAGACCAACCTCCGCGGACTTGGCTCCGCGGAGTGTTTTACGATCAGTCGTTGAACTGAGAAAATCTGCTGCTTTCCTGTGAGGAGCCAAGTCTGTGATTAAAAGCTCCTGTTCAGGTGGGTCCTGGAGGTGAGAAAGAGCAGGCAGTTTCAGGTTCGAATGTGGTGCGGAGAGTGGTGTTCAGGCCCCCCAAAAGCCGCATGTCCCTGATGAGGCGAGACACAGGACTTCAGACTGGTGAGAAATGATTGTACAAGCCACCATGCGCCTGTGTCTCCATGTTTGCAGTCGTGCCAGTGTGCGTAAAAATAGCTCAGCAAACGTACCATCTGAAATATGTGGACCAGCAACTCCAACCTGCACACGGAGCCTGGGAGGGCTGTTGGCCTGCCGGGGGTGTGGCGTGGGGACCTTGGGTCGTCTGTCTGGGAGAGCCCTCTCCTCCCCATGCACCTCCTCCTGCCCCCAGTCACCTGTTTCCAGGGGTGACAGTTTCGCTCTGAACAAATGCAGATATCACCTGTTGAAAGGCAACAGTTTTAGGGACGTAAGACTGTGAATCTTACAGAATGTTGAGTTCTGCCTTCCTGCCTGTGCTGGCCTGTGTTGACATGTTTCTGATGCAGCGCTGGCAGTCTCGTGGTCCAGAGGTTGTTCCCTGCCGTGAGAGCAAAGCGAGGAGTGTGAGTTTTCCTTCCCCTTTTCTCCTCTTTCCTTGGGTTGCCTCGGGGCCAGCCGCTGGCTGCTGTGGGAGGCCTAGGCCCTCAGGGACTTCCAGGACACTTGGGGTTTTCTCCAGGCCGGCTGAGCAGAGCGGAAGGCATTTCCCCTGACACTTTCCTCAGTGAAACCTCCTTTGGCCCCACAGGTAACTTGTCCCCCCCCCACCCCACCGGAGATTGTGCTTGGTGGCCCTGCCGCAGGGCAGTGACAGTGACTGAGCGTACCCGCATGTTGGAAGAAGGGGAGCTGCAGGGGCACAGGGAAGCCTCGCACGTTGTATTCACAGAGTTAGCCATTCCTTTTCTTTTAAGAGTGTAGAGCGCAGCGTTAAACCCGAAGTCACTGTGAGGACACGGAATGTCGTGTGATCCTTGTCCCCGAGGGCTTGGAACGTGCACCCTGCCAGACGACCGCCTGGCCTGCAGGAACACAGGAGGTTGATGGCATCAGAATGGTCGGTGCCCCTTACGGATAACGTCCCATTCTCGGCCCCTCCCCGGAGATTCCGATTCCGAGGGTTTGGGGTGGGTGGGGGACCACGGGCGTCCCGACCGGCTGTTTTCACGTGTGTTTCCGACTTGAAGCCGAAGTCGAGAATCCCTCAGCCAGATGCTTCTGGGCTCTTTCCAGTGCCAAGATTTCATCATGAACATGTTGTCATGAATGAGTAAGTCAGGGGGAAATAGATGGTTTTGCTTCCGTTTTATCTCTCTGTCTCTCTTCCTTTTGGTTTTTATCTCTGGAAGGAATTTAAAAGATAAGAGTTTTATTTTTTTTAATCAGGAAAAATTTACATGAGCATGGGGGGGGGGGAGTAGTGTGATAAATCTGTACAACCATCACCTCCGATGCTCGCATCCAGATTCTGTAGTTAACAAGGGCTTCCCTCCCTTAGCTCGTTCTTTTTTGTTTTGCTGGGCCCAAGTATTTCGAAGCAAATCCCAGACCTCATGTCAGTTTATCCCAATATATTACAGCGTGTGTGTGTGTGTGAGAATCACGGACAGTTTCTTATATAACCACAATGCTGGTATCACCCATATCAAAATGAACAGCCCTTTGGTATTACCTAATACCAGGGCCACACTCAGACCACCCTGATGGTTTGTAAAATGCTTGCTCGAATTAGGATCCAAACATGGTTTCTGTGTTGCCTTTGGCTCTTACGTATCCTCATCCTCACCAGTCCTCCTCCAAGCCCCTTTCACGCCCATCCTTCTCGTACAGACCCGTCCTTCGGGCTGTGGGAGCCCCGTGTCTGTCTGCATCCTGTCTGCTTCGTTGAGATTTCACTGAGCTTGTTCCTCTGTGCTCTGTTTTCTGTGATGTGGAGGTAAGTGTGAAAGGCTACATCACGTTCTGGCTTGGTTATGGATGGCACTGTGTGTGCTCACGCCAGGAAGCCTGGTCGACGCTTTCGCTTTCTCGGGAAGGCTGAGCTCTTCCTCTGGTTTCATGGGGCAAGGGCGGGGGGGGTCGGCTGCTCCCACCTCTGCGAAGTTCCCTGGCTGTCTTTCATCTTAGGGTTTCATCTGTTGAGTACCTTCGCCCGAATCAATCAAGATCGAGTTTCAAAGTCAGGGATTAAGTTTTATGCCTCCTAAATACAGACCTTAGTTAAGACTATAAGATTAGCAAGTACTAGTCTTCTCTTGAATACTTATAAGTGAGCAGTAAAGGGCAGTTATTTTTTTTATTGACTGGATAATAATAATGGTTCAGGAATGTGTGTTTCTATTTCTGTGCTTTTTCTCAACTTCCCCTCTTGCCACTTTAACAAAAAAAATGTTGTCATAAGAGGGTTCAGAATGGAAACACTGTACAACAGTATGTTTTGTATGTCTAGAACTGAGTGCTGAAAATATAACTTTAGCTTTTTAGTGTAGGTGACTTGTTTTGGTTGAAAAAAGACTGGACTGGAAATCAGGGTACCAGCTTCTATTTTGGATGCCGATGGCATGTGGCTTGAGCCTCAGTTTCCTCGTATAGAGAGGCAGGAGTTTGTAGTCACTTGGACCTTCTTCTTCTTCCTTTTATAGATTTTATTTGTTTTCAGAGACAGCAGAGGAAGTGGGAAGAGGTAGAAACATTGATGATGTCCAAAAGATGCATCGATCAGGGATGCACTAATCAGTAGCCTCTTGCATGCCCCCAACCAGGGAGCTGGCCCCCCAGCAGGGAGGTGACCCGCAACCCCTGCATGTGCCCTGACTGAGAATCAAACCAGTGACCTTTCAGTTCACAGGCCAGTGCTCAATCCACTGAGCCACACCAGCCAGGGATCTTGGGGCTTCTTACTGTGGGTCTTTGGGCGTCAAGGGCTCTGCAGACAGCCTGAAATTATTGACCATGTGTCATGTGACTATGCATATTGCATATTCCTAGAGGATCCCAGAGTTTGCTGATTTGTTTATTTTGTTTATTTTGCTTCTTGAATGGACCCTCTGACCCAGGAAAGGGAAAGAACCACTGGCATTTCATAACAATAGTCGGCTCTCCCCTCCCTTCCTTACCATAACCCTATGAGGCAGTCCCATTTTCCTTCTTAAAATAGAGGATGAACTAAGCTTAGAGTGGTTGAGCTACTTGGAGGGCACACAGCTAGTACGTAGCAGAACAGGAATGCACCCTAAGTCCCTCCAGTTCTGAAGGGTATGTACGTGCTTAAATGAAGCCCGGAGCCTGACTACACTTTCTTTGTATACAGGCTCTTGTAGATGGTCTCTATATGCTTCCTCAAAATGCTCTGTAACCAGGAGTTATGGGGGGACTGAAATAACCCGACCAAATCCAGAATTCACTCTGGGGTACAGGATAGAGACAGGTGAGCACAGAGCATGTTTTTGTGCTTATTGCAATTGGGCCAAATTCTGTCATAGTCAGCAAATGGAAAGGAAGATGTCACATGTACTTGCACAGAGCTTATCACTGCCTTCCCTGCTTTCTA